TTGTTACTAATAAGTCACCTGGCCATACATTCATTCACAACCTTAGATGTTTTTTGTCTATTTGAAATGTTGGGATAGATGTGATCAGTCTGTAAAGGTTACACTGAGCGTCATAACCACTGAAGCCTTGTCATGCCAAGGGTACCCTGGTGCCATTCCCAAGTAAGGGGGCAAGCCATTTTGCATTGGTCTCAACTAGTGTTCCTCCTCCTCTCATGATGGTTGAACTGTGAATTGTGCTGTTTGTTTATGTCAGCTGAACATGCTCTGCCAATAAACAAATGTCTGTGCAAAAAACATGCACACGATTGACCCTATCCAGCCCAGAACTCTAATTCTCCACTGGCTAAGAAGGCTGTCAGAGGGGGTGTGTAATAAAAAAAAAAGTATGTGCAGTGCTTCATGCTGAAACACACAGGGACACACACAGAGTACTTGAGATATGATCACTTCAAAACATTGAAGTTGCTGATTATTGCACCATTTCCGTCACTCTAAATATAACAGGTCATAAAATATATATATAAAAAAAATATTTTAGTAATTTTGCTTTCACACTGTACACATTTAGAATTTTAAAATATTATATTGCTTTCAATTTTCTGCTCATAGAGTATTTACAAGCTAGTATTAAAAAGACAAATTAAACAATTCAAATTATTAAGCCGCTGCTCAATTTGAAAGTTAAATAAATCTTTCTCAACAGATTAAATCTGCAGTTGCCGTGCTTGTTAAATAGACAATAACATTAAAAGAAATCCAAGCACTTGTGTCAATGACTGTTGAATGAAGAATGTAGCTTGAACAGACCCTTGAACTTTGAAAGTGTCAGTTAATATTGGAATCTAATCTTGTCTAATTTTCTCCGGGACTTTTTATTAGGGTGATCAATGACAAAGAAAGGATCTTGGCAAGACTAATGAGACTAAGATACTGCCTGTTTCTAGAAGTGAGCTGTGAATTGTTTTTTCAAATTTGGTACATTCCACACATTAACAATATTAAGACCAGCATGCTTTTAAACCTTGTGCTACACAGAATTACTATGTTATTTTAACACAATGTCCTAATTTAACATGACCTAAATTACATCTATTGGAATATAATGATGAGAACATTATAATTAGACATCCAATTAATAATTGTGATTTAAATAACTTCTTCTCTACTAAAAGCTTGTATATGGTGTGGATTATGTTTTACATTGAAACACTATGCAAAATAAATTTAGAGAATTCAGTTTTATTTAAAGTACAGTATACATCAAATGGTTGCAGTTTTACTGCAAATACCTGTAAAAAAATGTTTTTGTTTAATTATTATTATTATTGTTATTATATTTATATAGTGCAAATAAATTCTGTAGCGCTTTACAATGGGTGAACTAACAAACATGTAATTGTAACCAGACAAGTTTGACGCACAGGAACCAAGGGGTTGAGTTTACATGCTAGAGAGAGTGGAATAAAGTGACACAAAATGTAAGGGAAGTATAGGGATGTAGATTGGTAGAATAGTATTCACTGAAGACTTAGTGTGTTGTTTTTTTTTTGTTTTGTTTTTTTAATGAATGTTTCAGGAGATTAATCAGTTGGGAGCCAACAGTTTAATTGATCTGCTTTTGTGAAAAAGTAAGTTTTGGAGAGAAGTCTGGAAGGCAAGCATCAGAGGTGGGAGTACGGACAGAGGATAGATGTAGGTCTTCTGCTGAGCATAGGGGCCTGGACGGGAAATGCCTGTGTATTAAGGAGGATAGATAGGTGGGAGTAGCATTATGTAGAGATTTGAAAGCAAGAACCAGAATTTTATATTGAGCCCTATATTTTACAGGAAGCCAGTGCAGAGACTGACAGAGGGGTGAGGCATGGGAGTTGTGGGCAGAAAGAAGATGAACCTCGCTGCCCCAATCATTATAGATTGCAATGGGTCAAGTTGGGAGCACGTAAGTGTCACAGCTACCGACATCTCAGCCGGCTTGGCTGCACTCAAACATAGCAGCCACACCGTCAGAGATGTTTTAAACTTACCTTGGGCTCAGCAGGCAGCTACACGGTCTCCCCCCGTTCTGGTTCCCGGCAGGTGCAACGATTTTAGGAACGCTGGCCACTGTGGATCGGACTTTTATAAGAAACTTACCTTTTCCAACTTCAAAGATGGCGCCGACGTGTGTGCGGGGTCACATCATAGACTCGCACGCATGTTTTGGGGTCAGAGGTCAGAGACAGCCAATTACAGCATAAGGAGGGTTATTTAAACCCAAATTACCTTTTTGTCTGTGCCCTGTTGTGGTTTCCACTAGCTGGTTATCTGAGAGTGTGTTCATGATTGTGTTTTTCTGTTATTTGACTTTGGCTTTGTTTTGACTTCCCTGACTTCTGGTATCCTTGACTTCTGGCTATCACTTTGTGTCTCATTCTATGTCCCTGACCTCAGAAAGAAAAACAAGTTACCTGCGCTCTCTCGTTAATCACTATGTATTTCTAAACAAATGGAGGTTTTTTAGTTACCTCCAATGGCCATGAGAGGATGAGCCCACCTACCAACGTCAAGGCAGACCTCCCCAGGTGGGTCCTAACTCTAACCATTCACCTTGCTTCCTTGAGCCTCTTGCAAAAATCTCTAATGCGACAGAAAGGGGTATTTTTTATATACACCTCTATATATTATTAACCCTTAATAGGGAACACATGGGATGAGCGGATGCATTGTAACAAGGCTGAGTGATACAAAAAATGGATACAAATGCAGAAAGATAAGTCCTGCGCTCACTCCCATCACTGGGCGGCAGCAATGACTACAGTACACATACACATATAGTAAAAACTAAAGAAAAAAGTTACCTGCGCTCTCTCCTTAATCCCTACGTATTTTTAAACAAATTGAGGTTTTTTAGCTACCTCCAATGGCCATCAGCTGAAGAGCCCACCTGCCACCATCAAGGCAGACCCCCCCAGGTGGGCCCTAACTCTAACCATTCACCTTGCTTCCTTGAGCATCTGGCAAAAATCTCTAATGAGACAGAAAGGGGTATTTTTTTATATACACCCCTATATATTATTAACACTTAATAGGGAACACATGGGATGGGCGGCTGCATTGTAACAAGGCTGAGTGATACAAAAAAATGTCCCTGACAATGGCAAGTATTTTGACTATTCTGCGGTACTATTCTGTGGTACGTTAAGTCCGGCCATTCTAAGGTCCGGTTAGATGTTATCCTGAGTCCTAGGTGTGATACTATTCTGCATGCTGGATCAACTATAATCCTGACATTACGACATGGCCATAGATCCTGCAGATTTGTGTCAGCACATAGCAGCTTGCGAGAGAAAGCTAGAGGAAACTGATCACTGTATGCATCAATTTGCCCACGCTTTCAATACGCTCCTAATACATACGGCTCATTTACAGCCTGAAGTTCCTCCGGCAGTTACACCCCCGCTTACTGTACCTACATCTATAATATATAAGCCCCCTACTATCTCCCTATCTCCACCCCTGCATTTTGAAGGTAATACTCAAGTATGTCAGGGATTCCTTAATCAGATTGAGTACCATTTTGAAGCCTCACCTGGGTCCCTTCCCCATGGATAGAGCTAAAATTGGGTACTTAATGAACCAACTGAAAGGTAAAGCCTCAGCTTGGGCCAATCCATTATGGAAAAGTGTTAGGACTATTGCCCATAATTACCAAGAATTTCTTGCGGAAATCGAATTAATGTTTGAACCATTAGGAAAGGAAAATAACGCTTCCACTGCCCTAATACGCATAAAATAAGGGAACCGGTCCATCTCCGATTATGCCATAGTATTCTGCACCCTGGCTTCTGAGGTAGACTGGACTAATAATGGATTAATCACTGCATTTGTAGAATGATTATCCGAAGCTATCCTTGACGAAATTGCAGCCACAGAACTACCAGGGAGGTTAAATGAATACATCATGTATGTGATGCATATTGATGACCGACTTAGGAACAGGGAGATAACTAGAAATAGAACCAGACATATGAATATGTCACAGGCACCTCACTTCTCAATCCCATTGTCCATGGCCTTTCTGTACAGTCTGGGCCTAAACCTATGCTGTTAGGGGTTATGAGATTGTAAGAGGCAGAGAAACAGTTTAGGAGAAAAGAGGGCCTCTGCTTATACTGTGGCAAGAAAGGACACATAAGAAATGCTTGTCCCATACTTCTGGAAAACTCACGCACCTAAGAACCATTAGGGGACCGGCCTTAGGTGTATTGACTCAGGCAGTGCAGAAACATTTATCAATATGCAATTTGCAAGGAGTCCACTCTCTCAGCCTTTAATTACCCACAAAACACTACCTATCACTACCATGATAGGTGTGTTACACAAAGAACTCATCACATTTCATATAATTGCTTCCCCTTCTTGTCCCTTATAGTTGGATTCCCATGGCTTGTTAAAGTGACACTCCAGGCACCCAGACCACTTCTGCCCATTGGAGTGGTGTGGGTTCCAACTCCCACCACCCTTAACCCTGCAAGTATAATTAGTGCAGTTTTTACAAACTGCAATAATTACCTTGCAGGGTTAAGTCCTCCACTAGTGGCTGTCTATCAGACAGCCACTAGAGGAGGACTTCCATGTTCTTAGAACACAAAAAGTGTGTTATACGACACTGGACATCCTCATGCTATGTGAGGACCTCCAGCATCGCCAAAATCCCTATTGGAAAGCATTAAATAATGCTTTCCTATGAGGAGGTCTACTGCGCGTGCGTGGCCATTGCCAGGCACTGGAGAGTACATTTTAGCATAAAGGCTAAAGGGGAAATACTGGAATGGGGTAAGGAATGTAAAGAGAGCTGTATGTCGAGGGCGGAGCCTAACCTTCAATGGAGTAAGACGCACGGGCCTGCAGTTCTCCCGCCCCGGCCGAAATACCCGCGCACATCAGCTGGCTACCAGGTGCATCTCGCCCCCAAACACCTCCCACGGGCCCCCAAAGACCCCACACACCTCTTACCGATGGGGGGGAACAAAAAACGCAAGGAATCCACGCCGTCGGTGGCGACGATGTTTCGCGCCAAAGAAGACGGGCGGCCATCTTTGGCCCACAGCCAGGCAGACTCCGGCTCAGACTCAGAGGGGAGCGAAGCAGAAAAAACCCCGGCCACCCCCCTCACCAAAGAGGACCTCCGGGCCATGCTCAGGGAGATATCAGCAGACATTAAAGCCTACACCGCAGCAGCCCTGGAGAAACAAATCACAGGCCTCAAGAAAGAGCTGGAGGTACTGACCTCACGCACAGACCACAATGAACGCCTGATAAAGGACACCCAAACAAAAACCACAGCCCTCCACAAGGACACAGAGCTCCTGCAAGACAGAATGCTCTACCTTGAAGACGGACTGGAGGACCTCAATAACAGATCCCGCAGACAAAATATATGCATCAGGGGCATACCTGAAACAGTCCTTCCAGACGCCATTCTCCCCACAATCAAAGCAATCTTCCAGTCCCTCCTCCCTAACGCCTCAGACCAAGAATTATACATAGAAAGGGCACACAGAGCCCTGCGTCCCCCAACCTACAACCCCAACACACCACGGGATATCATAACGAAACTCCTATACTTTCCAGTCAAAGAACAGCTTATGAAAGCGGCAAGAGCCCACCAGCCTACCTACGAAGACCAACAAATACACTTCTATCAGGACTTAGCACCGACCACACTGAAGAAACGCCGGGAGCTCAAGCCCCTTACCACAGCCCTGATCGAAGCCGGATGGCGCTACATGTGGGGACACCCCTTCAAACTGTCGGTGAAAAAGGGGGAACAATTATTTACCCTCCATCAGGTAGCAGATATGCAAGACTTTGCCGACCATCTTGGGATAACCTTACGCTACCCAGCACAAGACCCCAACCAAGCCACGAAAGAGACTGCGAGCCGCAGAGGAGGGCCCCGTACGCTCCCAACACGCCCGCAACCTAAGCGAGGGTCCCCGCCAACGCAACCAGAGCAAGACGACATGAACACCTGATAGGCTCAGAAGACGGCAACTGGCACTAACCCCATACCGGGAACCTGAAACCAACCCAAGGCCGCAAACCACGGACTCTAAAAGACTGGTAGTATGCATACCACAATGTTACCCCAATGTTATCTCAATGTTATCTCAATGCTGTATATAGTTAAAATACACCCGTTATACTTGAATGTTTATCTGAGCGTACTGCCGGGGCTAGGACCCGATACACCCCCAAGGCTGAACACCTGTAAGCCGTAGACAGTGCCCATACGACGCAATAACCGCACGCAGGGGTTAACTATTAGACCCCGCCGCACAAGCCTGAGATAGGATACTGCAGGTTAGCTATGGCAGCATAGGCGACCCCACTGGAAGGTACGACCAAGGCCCTCCGGGGCAACACACGACCCCCCCCAGATAGTTAAAAAACAAATCTCCCACTGCAAACTAACAGGTACTCAACAACCAAGCCTGAATTATCATGCTAACATATACCACGTAACGAAGCACAAAATGCCCCCGAGTAGACAGGGCACTCAGGGACCTCACACCACCTCAGAGTGGTGGACAGCACCCCCCTCAGCCGCACGGTTAAACCACCCACGACATCTCCCACTAGAGGCCATGGGCCGCCTAGCAGTATACATGTCTCACAGGCACGCCAAAGCTATACATAGTTCAGTTTCACCTGTTACGCTAACATGTTACCCTGTGCGCACAGCTAGCCCCAGTCCCCAACCTAATCTCAGGGCCACAACCTGCAGACTGTCACAGGAGGCCCTAAGCTACTACACCTAGACCTAAGGGACTAAATGCAGACCCCGCTACTAGCTACAAGCACCGCTGGGTTAGATAAAGGATGCCGCACAATAGACGGCACATGGGTCCAGGTTGAAAGGCATGTCCAAGGCATACCAGGGCAGCATGTGACTTTGATAGTAACAAGAAAAATTACCGCAATGCTACTTATTATGTAACCCACACTCAAGACTTAACTAACCATTACTATGTATTATAAAATGTTACTGTGCATGTATGTTAAACACAGGTACCATACCACACACGGCTCCTCAGAGCGGTCCAAAAACACCCCCTCCACAGACCAACAACAAGCACCAACCAACAGTGATGAGGGAAGCGGACGATCCTACAGCTAACGGACAGACCCTGGCCAGCCCCCTCCGTACAACAGTTGACCTACACAAAGGACCGGCGATCCATGACAACACATAAGAATCCCCAGACCTGCGAAACCGACTCACCAGGTACGCACACAACGACACCATGGGACATTCACACACTCACCCCCACTAAAGCTGCAGCACATCCACGTACTCACAAAAGCAATCCAAACGCACAACATGACCAACCCCACCCACACATCACACCCCACCGAGATGCACCCACGCAAACACCCCGGGGCGGGGAGCGAAGGGCACGCTTACAGTCCATTCTCCCCCCCACAAACACACAAACCAACTCAACCAATCTCACCTCAACCATACAGTGAGAACTAGAGGAGACCAACACCCCTTACAACAGACAGACACACGCACACCCTCCCGCTCGCCCATCTCCTGGCGACAGACTAGTAAGACCAGGATCTAAACCATCTACCCCTTCCCCAACACCCCCCCACCCACAGCCCTACATCCTACATAGCCACCTCCCCCCCCATCTTCCACCCCCCTCCCCAAGGTACATCAAACATACAGACTCAGAACCAAACCCACTACAACAAGAAGGCACACACCAGTAGAACAACACCGCACTCACCAGCATGCCGGCCACCCTGACCTGCCTATCAATAAACTGCAAGGGCCTAAACAACCCCACGAAACGGCACCAAGTAATGCGCTGGGCAAACAGATCTAAGGCGGACATACTACTCTTGCAGGAAACTCATTACACCCGGACCAAGCAGTTCCCTCTCCTAAGCCGACACTACCGAACTAACCACTTCGCCAGCTCCCCCCACGACAAACACAACGGAGTAGCCATCATCTTTCGGAAATCATGCCCTCTCTCGATCCAACGAACTATAGCCGACCCGCAAGGCCGATATCTCACTGTAACAGGCAAAATAGGCACGCACCTCTACGCATTCACGTCAATATATGCTCCGAACACCCCCTCCAAAGCATTCTGGCATACGATACAAGCCCACCTAGCCCTCTTCCCCTCCCACCATTCCATACTGGGCGGGGATTTCAATGCCACACCCTCGCCAATGGTAGACAGGCACCGCACACAATCACGAACGCACCATCAACAACCAACAGCCAAAGCAGACAAAATGCTCTCTACCTTCATCTCAAAAACTCGCTTGATCGATGCATGGAGAGCCCATCACCCCTCATCCCTAGACTACACGTTCTTCTCGCACCCTCACCAATCCCACTCCCGCATAGACCTGTTCCTCATTTCCCCGGCACTGGCACCCATGGTAAACAACACGAACATAGGCTCCATCACGTGGTCCGATCACGCAGATATTACCCTGACACTTAACCTACCATGCACGACAAGACCCTGGTCTTGGCGACTAAACCCTACATTACTACACAACCCAACAATCCGACAAAATGTGGCCCAAGCTATTACAGAATACTTCACACTAAATAAGGACTCAGCAACTTCCGATGGGTCTCTATGGGCAGCACACAAAGCAGTAATCCGGGGAGTCATGATAAACCAAGCGACCATACACAAAAGAAAACAGGTAGCCCACCTAGAACAGACACTAATGACCCTTAGGACCCTAGAGGCCCAACATAAACTTAACCCAACGCCAGAAACAAACGGAAAAATTGCAGAATGCCAAACAAAAATTAAAAAATACATGGCGAAAAATTCAACCAAAGCATTACTGTGGTCAAAACAACTATTTTATGACAAAGCAAACAAAGCAGACACACTACTCGCAAGGAAACTCAAGCAGAGAACAGAACGTAAACAGATCACCAAAATTAACACACCAGAAGGGACTCTCACAGAAAAACCGAGCGAGATAGCCGGCGTCTTTCAGAAATACTTTGAAGCCCTGTACGACCACTCACCTACAACCCGACAAAACCCAACACACACCAACACACTTATTAACCAATACCTACAACAGGAACCACTACCTTCCCTCCCAACAGAAGCAGAGGTAGCACTAGCCAGCCCCATCACGCCAGAAGAACTCGCAGGAGCGATCAAAACACTGAAACCCAATAAAAGCCCGGGCCCGGATGGGTTCACAGGACTCTATTACAAAACTTACGCATCCACCCTGATCCCCCACCTCTGCAACCTCTACAACGCGATCCTGGCAGGCGACCGACTACCACCAGACATGCTACAGGCCAATGTATGCCTCCTCCCCAAACCCAACAAAACCCTCCTAGACCCAGGACACTACCGACCAATCTCACTCCTCAACGTCGACATTAAACTACTCACCAAACTCCTAGCAGACCGCCTCAACCCATATCTAACCCGACTAATCCACCCAGACCAGGTGGGCTTCATACCCACGAGACAGGCTAGCGACAACACTAGACGGACATACGACCTCATCTGGACAGCTCACACAAGACAAATCCCGACCTTAATACTTTCGCTTGACGCAGAAAAAGCCTTCAACAGACTACTTTGGCCCTTCCTATTCGCGACCCTCGAAAAACTCAGATTCCCACAAGAATTCAGGAACGCGCTGACAGTACTATACGCCACACCTCAAGCACACCTTCTCCTCCCGCATACACAACCCCCCTCCTTCACGATTTACAACGGCACACGTCAGGGATGCCCACTATCCCCAGTCCTATTTGCACTCTCCCTTGAACCGCTCCTACAGAGCCTCAGGCTCAACACCGACATAACCGGCCTCAGAATACGAGAGGAAGAATATAAAACGGCAGCATATGCAGACGACCTACTCATCACAATCACGGAACCCATAACCTCCTTACCACCACTTCTACACGCCCTAGAAGCATATGCGGCGGTATCAGGGTACAAACTAAACATAGATAAAACAGAAGCCCTCTCAATACACATAGACCCTTCCACAACAGCAGCCATCCAAGAAAAATACCCCTTCAGACTGAATCCCACCCACATACAATACCTAGGGATCACTATCCCGGCAGACCTACCCCAATGCTACGCTCTGAACTATACACCCACGATACAGAAAATAACCCACGACATCTCTACCTGGCAAAACATGCCGATCTCGTGGCTGGGCAGACTAGCGTCAGTCAAGATGAACGTGCTCCCTAGGCTTCTATACCTATTCCAAACCCTACCGATCCCAATCCGGAGCAGCGACTTCAAAACACTGCAAACAACCATCGACAAATTTATATGGGCCAACAGACGCGCCAGAATAAAACGCCAAACCTTATATGTACCCAATAGAGCCGGGGGCCTGGGCTTACCCCACCTTACACATTACTACCAGGCATCCCAACTAACGCAGGCCCAAAACTGGCAAGCCCCATACGGAGTTAAACGTTGGGTAGATCTTGAACACGACATCTTCGGCAGAGACTTCCCCTCACTATACATCTGGCTACAGAAATCAGCGAGGCCCCCGCTGCCCCGCACATCACCGGCGATACTCAACACCATAAACATATGGGACAAAACAACTCACAAGAGCGGCCTTACAACCCAACACTCACCATTAACCCCGCTTCTTCGCAACACCCACTTCCCACCGGGCATGACACCCAAAGACTTCGCCCGCTTCGAGGCAAACAATCTCACTCGACTGTTCCACTACTACAAAAACCAACAACCAATACCTTTCCCAGAGCTCCCACATACAACACCATACCGTACATTTGACATGTTCCGCCACATCCAAATCAAAAGCTTCCTAGACATGCCAATAACCAAACAAGCAGGAACTAAAGAGCTCACTTCCTTCGAAAAACAATGTATGCAATCCCCGACACAAAAAGGCCAAATATCCGCACTCTACACACACCTAATCCAAAATGTTAAAGACGGGGCCCTTA